TGCTGTAGTAGCTTTACTGTGTCCAGTCTTCTGAGCTGAGTTGCGATTTGAGTTTCGGTGTACAAATATCTAGGGGAATTGTTCGCTGGATATTGAAAGCCCCACTCTTAGCCTGTTGACAGTAAACACAGAAATATTGGAAGATGTCAGAAGTGCTTTCCATCTGTAGTAGCTGACAGAAAAATTACATGGGAGTGACATAATCGAGATTATGTTCTCCCTTGCCTGCCAAAAGTTGGGTAACTCTGGTGTAGTATGTGGTAGGACTGCATTTTAAAGCTATGTAGAAAGTTGCAGTTGTCAGTCCCTGGGTTATTTGTTGAAATGTGGTTTGGTTTTTTTGTTGGTTTTTTTTTTTTTTTTTTTCCCTGATACATTGAGAGTTTTATAATGATTCTTTTTAGCTTTTTGGTTGGTGTTTTGGAAGTAAATGGTTGGTGTGAAAAGCTTGCATGGGTCTATCCTGTATCCTGAAGTTATGACCAAAGTTCTGTTAATTTTACATAACATTTCGGATTCTAAGTGGGAAGGGTACAGCTGTTGGGTTTTTTGGCTTGTTTATTTTTGCTTTTTCTCTTGAATATTCCACGCTGTTTTGCAGCGTAAAAACTGTGTCACGTTGACAGTGTTATCCCTGGTATCCAAGTACGTTCCAGCTGTCCCCATAAAGCCTATTTAAGAGTGCCCTGGGTGTAAGAGGAGTGCCCTAGCTCATCTGAACTTCATTAGCAGGTATAGCTGATCAGGTTGTACTGTTTGTTATTCCTTTAAATTTATTTCACTGTTCTTCCATGCTTTCAGTTAAGCTTTTTATGTTTTTATTTCATTGCTTTGTCTTGGCACCAGGCACGTTTGTCAAGGCGGAGCTCATGAATGGAGTGTAGGCATAGATATGTCTTGCTGGTTGGGGCTGCATATATTTAACAAATGTATGTATTTTTCCAGTGACAGCTTAAATTTTTATGTTTAATAGTACAAGAGAAAAATAGTTTTCATGTAAATGGTGACAGTTTGCTTTCCCTGATAGACTGATAAACATTAGTGGTTTTAATGATGTAGGTGTCATATGAAATCGTAAATACAAAAATGGGCACCTGTAAAAAGTTGAAAATACTTAAAATACTACTCGAATATGCAAGATAGGCAGGAAAATGTATCATCATTTCTAGAACTAGATACTTTACACTTAATTTTTATTTGAGAGACAGCCAGCTTATAATGACGAGTGGCTGAGGATGCTTGTGGTTATATGGTGTATACGTGTGCATGTGTGCCGTATAGGAGTGGCTTGATTTTGCATCATAACTAACACTTTTCTCACAGTTACTCCGATGGCAAGATATGTAAATGGTTTGTATTGCAAGGCAGACGAAAGAAGGCAGTCTTATAGCTGTGCTGAGAAACGTCATTCTTACGAGGATTAACAGAAACGCAGAATTTTGGGAGGTCTGCTTTCCTTTGGCAATGGCAGAACGTGCCTTCCAGCTGCTTTGAAGGTTTTTAGGTTTTCTCTTTTCCTTTTTATGTTCAACAGATGAATCGTAAGATTACTGGAAATTCTTCTCAGGCACTCTTTTCTTTTCGCAAAGTACCTGTCACCGTTTAGACCTACTTGCTTGCAAAATTTATTGACAATCAATACCTCAGAAGAAAATAGTTTTATGAAAACGAAGAAGGATTCATGAAAACCTCATGTACTTCTATCATCAGGAGCTTCTGTAGTGGATATTGTCTAAAAATTCTGACTCCGTTCTTGTTATTGATGCCACACTTCCAGACTGTGAATGAAGCTTCATTGATTTCAGGAAAGGTCTACAAATAGTGTCAGTGTACACAAGTCTGTTTGCAAGAATTAGCCTTAAAAATGTGAAGCTCAGACTGCCATCAGCCCTTCTTAATCCAATTATAAATAATCTTTAAATTGTTCTACAAATTACACAGTATATTTGAATCTCTTCCTTACTGTTTGAAACTTCAGCGCGGCAGAGTAGATTTTCATCTTGAATGAGCTCTGTATAGGTTTTAAGAAATACAATAAAACACTGGAGAAATTGGAATTACTGAGAAGACATATGGAATAAGGATACATCAAGTTAGGTTGTCGTATGCTGCAACTTTTCTGTTTTGCAAAGGAAGAGAAGTGGTTTTTATGCTAGCTTTAAGCCATTGTTTTTATGACTGCTATTTTTTTTTTCTGAAGCAGGATGATAGGGAATTCGGGGGAAACTTTTGAAATAAATAGTAATTGGTTTTATCACTAAGAAATACTTTAAAATTGTGTTTGTCAGTGTTAGCGCAGTATGGAATTTGAATAATAATTAGAAATCATAATATCTATTGTAAAGCTGTGATTGTTTATATATCTGAATGCCGTCCTTTTGAGACTTTTTTTAGTAGATGTCATGCGGCGTATTCGTGTATGCGGTAATGAAAGTTTTTAGCTACCGACGTTCTCCAGGGCCTTGATTGCCAAATCTGACAAGCTAAAGCAAGCATTCATTTGCATAGTAAAGACTGAAGAATCAGAGTGAAATTCATTCCAATGTCATCCTTCTTGTCCTTGGGATTCTGCTCTGTATTAAAACAAACAAAACAAAACACAGACCAGGTTCTTGCCATCGAGTTGCCATGCAGAAAAATCATAGAATCATAGAATCGTTAAGGTTGGAAAAGACCCTTAAGATCATCGAGTCCAACCGTTAACCTATCACTGCCAAGTCCACCACTAAACCATGTCCTCGAGCACCACGTCTACCTGTCCTTTTAATACCTCCAGGGATGGGGACTCAGCCCCTGCCCTGGGCAGCCTGGGCCAGGGCCT